GGAAAACCAAACAGACCCAGAAAGAGACATGGAGCAGAGATACCTTGGGGCTATGCTGGGTCACTGAGAGTCACCATGACAGAGAGAAATTACAAAGGCAGCCCAATGCAGAGCCTCCAAGGCATGCAGGTATGGTCACTGCTGCTACTACCAGACCCTGCTGCAAGCAGAAGCAAAGTTGTGTATTTGGAGACAGGTTCCCCTCCCATCACTCTGACTGCATCATGCCAAACTGAAAACGGCCAGCTGGGGGTTACAGAGCTGGGGGCAGGGGGCTGAAGAGCTCCACTAGGGAAACACAGACACCAACCCTCAGGGAAATGGAGCCAAGAGAGGGAAACCTCTGCAAGTACAAACCTTACATTGCTACCCGTATTTGTTACTCTACGGCAATCAGCGCAACACACATTAAGGCTTTATTGCAGATCCCTTCAGCATCAGGAAGAGATAACTGTGACAAGAAGGAACAAGAGCTGTGCTCCATACAACATGAGCCCAAGGCCTAGCAGCCTGATGCTCCACCATCTTCCTACCATATGTATATTTTTTATTTAAAAAAAAAGGCTTGCAGATTCTCTGTCAATTTGTATTTTTTGAATTGACAAGCATGACTATAACTTTTTTTTTTTTTAAAAAAAAGTCTTCATAAGGTTACCACTCAGTATTAAAAAGTATAACTCAAACCAGTTAGAAAACCTCCCCCAGAAAACGTGCTGCGAAACGTGCACAGCTAATTGCTGCCCTTGGCTTCCAGCATGCTTTCAACTAAGTAATTAAACTAGAGTATGCACCTCTAGCATGCTCTGTGCATCAGCTGGTGCTGCATGTACCTGTGTCACGTTTAGTGCTGCAGTCACACAGCAGGTGCTCCTGGCACATATGAACTAGACAGCAATCATGGATATCACGGCAATCATGAGTTCAGGTGACAGAATCAAGAATCACAGAATATCCCAAGCTGGAAGGGACCCACAAGGATCTCAGAGCCCAGCTCTTGGCTCCACACAGAACCACCATAAGATCAAATCCTGCGTCTGAGAGCACTGTCCAAACTTCCCTTCAACTCCAGCAGCAGCTGTGACCACTGCTCTGAAGAGCCTGTTCCAGTGCTCACACTCTGCTGAGGAACCTCTTCCCAATGCTCAATCTGAATGGCCAGGAGGGACAGGCCTGAGACAGGTACAGACTGAGAATGGAAAGAGATCTTCCCCCCACTGCAGACCTAGGGGATAGCCCTCCTGGTCCTCTCCTGACCTCTGCCAGAGAAAACATCTTCTCTGGGGCTGCTTGTTCTCCCTATGAGGAATCCCACTGCATTTTATTTGACCTCAGTAGTCTGTCATGATCATGCCACCCTAACACTACATTTTCTTGAGGTGAGTATAAACCGTTGCTGACATTTCCCCAATCCAAGGGTTGCTAGCAGCAAGGAAGGTCAGCTCTGCCCCTGATTTAAACAAGTGCCACGTTTGCTGTACCATACCTGCAAGAAATACCATGAGTTTGGACAATTTCACCCACATTTGATACTTTAATCCAATTTGTCACACTCGCCTCCATGTTCACCATGTTAATCTCTTCTAAAATTACTCTCCAGTCCTCTGAATGAAAATACCTCATTCCTCCACTCCAAACAGTCATAAACATAGATCCTTGTAAAGTAAGAAAGAGGGTGAGGGTAGGGCTGTATTTCTCTATTTTTGCACTGCAGTGATGCATTTCAAAATAGCTTAGCAGTAGTAGTCATACTTACCGATATATTTGGTATACATTCCTCCTGCTGCTATTCTGAAGAAATTTAGCACTTTTGGGAATGTGTGGATTATTTTTTCCCCTCCTTCAGCGGATTACTCTATGTGAAGTTTGACCTTTTCTTTCTTTTTTTTTTTTTCTTTTTGGGTTTTTTTTTTTGGTTTGTTTGTCTTAAATAAATGAGGGCACTCTTTCTTTCCTTTCCTGCAACACCGTTCTTTCAGTGCAAAGCTGCCCATGGCTTGAAGAAATCCTCATCTTCCAGCCTCACCTGGAAATGAGCAGCAATTTTTCCCATTGCTAGTACCTGAAAGAAGTCCAAGAAGTCTCAAAGTTGTGTGAAGTGAACAGCGATGAAGAAAAATTTAAAAATACATATTTAAAAGCACCAAAAAACAGCCTTTCAACTGTCATGAAAGCTCTTGTACGGGGATCTACAGCTCAGATTAAGATTCTTCACTGCTCTTTACACATTATTTATGACTATCTGTCTTCTTGACTTGCTGCATGTTCTTGGGTTTAGAAAGTAAGAAATGCAGGCTGCCACACAGGAGCTACGCTGCCAGCAAGCAGCCCCTGAGACCACACAGAGTTGCATGACTTCAGTACAAAGTGCATTAGCAAAAAGGCAGCACGCTTATGAGCTAAGCTGTCAGGCTAAACAGGCTTCAGATCAACCAGGAAAAGCTTGCCGCTGAAGTTCCCTGCTATGACCATCCACTGAGCACCTTAAGCACACACCTTCTGTAGCACACTGATTGTGTTGGGCCAGAGCACTGGGAAGCCTTGTGCAGCACCAATGCGTTCCTAACTAAAGGAGATGAGTTTTCCCTGCCAATTATCAACTGGAGGCAATTCACCTGGGCAAAGATTAGTTTGCAGGCCACTTTATCAGCTTCCAGGGTCTGTAGCTAGGTGAACATGGACTTCATACGCACAGGAGGCTTCTTGTGATTTCAGCAAAGCCTCTAACAGCAGCAAAGCTCCATGAACCTCAGCAACACAGCACATGCAAGAGGAAATTCCTTCCTGCTCCTCCCTGAGGTACTGAGTAAAACTTTTCCCAGTGTACACTTTTTTTCCTGAACTGTATTGATTTTCTGTTCCCACATTTACTTTCCCAGAAAGCTTTCACAGGCCTATCTGTGGATGTACATCACTCACTCTTTTCTTTTCAGCTTATCAGAAGCGTGGTCAAGTACTGAAAACAATTGTACAGTGCGTATTTGTGCAATTAAATGGAACAAGAAGAAAAAACTACTTGTATCGAGATCCTTCAGAGTTTCAGAGAGTGTTCACTAATTTGAGTACTTACAGTTTGGCTTTCTACACAGTTTGGCTACACTGGATAGAAAGAAAGTGACATGTAGGCTAAAATCAGAAAGTCTACAGGCACAGTGTGCAGCCTGGGCCAACACAGGCTTATGTTGTTAGCCACTTTCTCTGTCTTTTTCAATAGATGTATTGTTTTGGGCTGTGTTTCTCCCCCAATCCTGCTGAAGATGCAGAAGTGAGGGGCAGTTAACACTCCAGCAGAGGAGGGCATAATGCAAATAAATAAGTAGAAATCACCAAAGACACTTTTCTTTTTTTTCCAGAACTGGAACCGAACAATCCTAAGATTGGAGGGATGAAGGGATGGATGCTCCCCAGCAGTAACACCTGCCCCTGATACCCAGCTCCATGAGACCTTATCCCCAGGACCACCTCAGCCAGCACAACTGGAAGAGCTATCACTGAGGAAAGGGGGAGGTGTGGGGTGTCTGAAATAGCAGCACAGCCAACGAAAGCTGAAAGTGCAACATCTAACTGCTCCTAGCTGGACTCTCAGCTCCATTTTGGCTTCTGTGTTGTCGTGGCTGGAGGCTGATAGACATTTCCTACTGGAGCATCGGGTGCCCCTATACCACACAGCAAGCAGGAGGAAAGCTGCACAGAGATGTCCCTGACTGGGGACACTGTACCACAACACCAGATGCCAAAACACTGTTACCATCTTTCCAGCGTGCCTGACCTCTGTGACCACATGGACAACAGCCATCATTCAGCGTGGCAGCTCGGTTCCAGGGAAGGAAAGGGCTCCTGGCACCACCAAGCATAACGGTTTGTCAGCATTTCCTTTCACCATCATAATCTCATATTTAGAAGTCTGAGAGTCACCCTACTAATTTCCAGCTGGGATTCTGAACAGAAGCCGGAGAGAAAAGCAAGTTTCTCAATGCCACAAACTAAACAACAGATAAGCTGGGACAGATTTAATATGTGAAAAGGAGAGGCCGAAATTACAGCAAAATCTTCACTGCATTCTTACAGAGAGTTTAGCAACACAGTTCTTTGGAAAAGAGGCACCCCAGCACTGCTGCGTAATTACTTACAAAAAAACACTCCTGGCTTTGCAGCTGTGAAACAGAAGTACCAGCCTAGTTTGTTTCAAAGGTCAGCTTGGCCACTGACCACACTGCAAACAGATCATACGCAGTGGCTCTAAACTCAGTGAAGTCTGGGCTGGCTGGCTGCCTGCAGGAAGGTTTCAGCCCTGCCCAGCAGACGCCCTGCCACCACCACAGAAGGAAGAGGCAGCCGGTCATATCAGCATGGCACATATCAGCATGGCACGGGGACAATCCAAGTAACTGCCCCACATTAAGCACTCTTGCAGATGAGCAGCTCCTCCAGCTTAGCAAATACTCAGCGAATGCTTGCTCATTATTGACCTGTGTCACCCTCATGAGACGAGCTGTGGCATTCCACGCTCATTATACAGCCCAAGGCATGCTCTGAAGTCTTTTGATCTCCCCCTTAATGAGGAGTAGGCACAAGGCAGAGCAGACTGCAGCCCCAACACTGATGTTAAGGAAGTCACAGCCCCAAGCAAAGCATTTTCGCTTCTGGTAGGAAAGAAAAGTCTGTGACTTGTTCAAAAGGCTCTCACTTTTTGCAGAACCAATCCCTGACCATGGCAACAAGCCCTAACTAGCCCACTGTGACCAACCATAACCAATAAGCATAAATACACATGAACTTAACCATCATTAGCTCATCATTTGTCAAGGACTTGAATAGCTTTATCAAGAGACAGTCACCATACCTTCCAACATCAGGACTCAATCAGGGATCCACCACAAGGAGTGGGAATGGAAGGCAAGAAGGAAGAAGGTACTAGGATCACAATGGGGCACTACAGCACCTAAAGCCTAGAGGTATTGACCAAGGGAAGCTGGTCCAACAGGACAATTGCTGCCTCTTACCTGTTCTCCAGCAGCGTCATGCAGATGACCTCCCGCACGCCTGGGTTGTTGGCTTTCTCAATGGAGCAGCTCTGCAGGTTCCACGTAGCCACCCTCAGCACCGGTCTGCCATCCCTCAGCCCCCCGAACATCTCCACAGAGGGGCGAGTGGAGATGATCTGGGTTGGGCCCCCAGGGGGAAAATCCAAGTCCTCACTCTGGAGGCTGAGAGAAGTGGGGCTGGGATGAGGCTTGGCTGTGAAGTTGAGGCCGCCGTTGGTGTTCGTTGAAGGGGGTCGGGACCTCTCTGCAAAAATCTGATGCCGGATTTTGTCTAGGAAAGAGGAATTGATGCAGTTCATCCTCACCAGGTCCTCGATACTTTTGAAGGGCCCGTGCTCTTTGCGGTAGTCCACGATGCTGTTGGCTATCTTCTCGGTGACGCCGCGGATGCTCATGAGCTGCGCCGGCGTGGCGGTGTTGATGTTGATCTTGGTGGCGGACAGGTGGTGCTCGGAGGCCGGGTCCTTCCGCAGGGAGCTGGGCGAATGCTGCGCCGAGCTGCCCTTACTGCTCACGCAGATCTCGAACTTCACCTGCTCCAGCTTGGCCGCCCCCACCCCGCTCACCAGCGCCAAGTCCTCCACCTTCTTGAAGCCACCGATGTACTCGCGGTACTCCACGATGTTCTGGGCCACCACTCGGGTGACCCCGGGCAGAGTCATCAGCTCCTCCTCGGTGGCCGTGTTGATGTTGAGCCTCTCCTGGTTGACCAGGATGTTGCTGAAGTTGCACGCCGCGCTGAACTTGCGGCTGTGGCACAGGTCGGCAGGGTCCCGGGGGATGGAGCGGTGGCAGCCCAGGTTGCCCCCCATCTCACCGCCGCCGCACCAGGGCGCTGCCGGAGCCGGGGCGAGCCGAGAGCCCGGGCCTCATGGACCCCGCGGCGACCGCCGCTGCCTGGGGACAGAGCCAAAAGGCGCTCAGACAGCCCCTCAACAGCCCGTCCTCCCTCCTCCTCCGGGTACCACACGACGCTCCCCGGCCGTTCGCCGGACAGCGGGGAGAAGCGACTGGAACGCCCTGATTCCACTCCCGCCCCCAGCGCGCCGTGCCGCTCAGCCCCGCTCCGCTGCCGCCCCGGGCGCACAGCGCCGCGCGCGCCCCGCCGGCGGGAGTTGTGGTTCGCTGCGAGCTCCCGCCCCTCGGCCGCCGGGCGGTGCCTGCCACACCGCACCGCCTCCCGGGGCGGGCCGAGCCCGTGCCCCGCATGGGGAGCCGAGCGAGGCCGTGGCCGGGGGTGAGGGGCGTGCTGGAGGCCTGCGTGCCTCCGTACCGCTCCTGGGAGAGCGGTCGTGCCTCAGCCCGTTTCCCTAACTCGGCACCACCGTCCTGCCCCGAAGTCCTTCTTGCGTACCGTCTGTGTGGCTGAGCTGGCTGCGAATAAACTCATTTTCTGCCTGTGCTGGTGAAGCTTTCTAATGCGCAGCCGGCTGCCGCGCTGTGCCGCGTGCTGTGCTGGCAGCAGAGCTGTAGCCAAGCGAGCTGGGCGGAATACTGCCCACACGGTATTGACTGCAATGTCAATGAATCCTACACATCGTCGGTGGGTGTAATGAAAAGCAAGGGGAGGAAAGCTGAAAGAAGGAGCGATGTGTGCTTGCAGATGCCAGCTATGCACCCCTGCGCTGACAGTACATGTACATTACTTTTATGCAGACAGAACACAGTGCGTGAGTGTTTTCAGTGTGAAGGCTCTGCATTGGTCCTCTCATTAAAATTAAGCTGCTTGCCACAGTGGCTTAAGCATGCATTTCCCGTGCCAAATTAATGAAAGTTGTCTGGGTTCACCTGAAATAAAGGGCTGAATTTGTGCAGCTTCTTGGATGAAGAGGAAGGGAATGTGATGTGAAGGAGGGAGCTGCACCAGGCATTTAGCTTGCACATGGGCACTGCAGCTTTGACATTTGCACTAGATATTCTGCTGCGGATCACACATTTCTCTTCTCTTCACCCAAGCAATAGAGTTAGCAAATTATCATTACCGGAATGGGTACTTGCTGCATTAGGGCATTGGCTCTTTGCTGACTGATGGAGCGGTGAAAGTGCTCGCTTAGGTGATTAAATGCTTCCCCGGCTGCTGGAAAGTGCTCTGTGCGCTGCGATAACACTGGCCAATGCAGCAGAAGTCATGCTGGGCCTAATTCTGCTGGGATGATACCAGCGCAGAGCTGGAAACTATTAACCACTCAAATGAGTATTCTTTGTGAGGCAATGTTATTACAGTAATAGCTCCGCAAGCTGTTCTCTCAGTGGAGAACATAGTCTTCTGCATTCTACCATAGGTTGCTTAGAATTGATTTAGGCTCATTAAGTAAGTTTTAAAGCTGAGAAGTGCCAAAATCCATTTGAGGTGTGCCCTGTGCCTGCAAGCAGCTCCAGGTTTTCTGCGTTTTGGAAAGAAGCAGAAGCATCTCCAGAAAGAAAATGACACTCACCACTTTCGTCCAGCACTTTCTATTGTCAGCAGCTACTTGGCATTTTTTGCAGCATGAAGTGCCAGGACACAGCTGCAGTGCTGATGATGAAGCGGAGCACAGAGTGGTGCAGTGGGTGTCCCATCACCCTGCTCTGAGTATGGTCCATGCTAACAGAATGCAGCAGTCGGTAAGGGAAATTCAACTCCATTAGCCCTTTAGCCTGCTTCTTTTTGGCAATATTATGAACAGGAAAGTTGCAGGGAGTTTGCTGAACTCTGAGTCAACTTATGACACATTTTAGTACTTTCTGGGAAGTGTCAGAAGATGTGAAGATGTGCAGCTTTTGTCTATATTTTTTTAAAGGTTGAAAGAAAAGAGCTGAATTGACTTGCTTGACATCAATGTTAGGCAATGCATTAGCATGAAAAAGCTAACCACCAGGTGCAGCCAGTAAATGACTGAAAAAACAATAGCAGAAATTACTGACAGCCCGTGCAGGCAACAGAAAACAGCTCTTGTGAAATTCATCAGGTAGATGTTAGGGTTTATCTTCAACCCAATCGCAGGCTCAGTGATTGATCACAGCCTGCTGCTGCAGGCTGGCAGGGAGCCTCCTCATGTGACACCACCTCATGTGACAGGAGGCCACAGAGCTGGGTTTCCTGAACCTCCATCAGCCCAAACAGGTTGGAAGGCTCCAAAATGCCGTGGGTGGCTTATTCCTCAGGATCTGCAGCTTACTGCTGAACTGAGCATCTGGCTGCTTGACAAGTCTGGATTAAAATCTTGTCAGTGCTGGCAAAATCACGTTCTGCTGCACTGAAGAAGCCAGGCTGATGAGCACCTCAGCAGGCTTCCATAGGGAGGGGAGATGGAAGGACACCTGCAAAAGGCCCTCTGTAGCAGCCATCACCCATTGCACACAGTGCTTTCACATATCACTGTATGGCATAGCAAAATCCATGGTAGGGCAGTGTCATATGCTTTCTGGCTCTGGGAATCTTCCCTAGTAGGAATGGTTCAAAGTGGAAAGAAATAAACAAACTGAACTTTTCATAAGAAGGAGGTTTTCCCATGCCTTCAAATGAAATGTTTAAGAATGACATGGAATTGCGTAAGTCCCAAACAATGAAGATATTGTTGGTGCAGATACCTCTGAGCAACGTCTATTGACTGTAGTCATGTAAAGAATCAGCCTAGAGCGCTCTACATTTTACAGTCTTGACATCTCAGCATTTTAAGATGGCCTTAAAATCTGAGTCTTATCTTCATATTTTCCAAGATGCATTATTTATGTTGCAGAGGTGCTAAACCAATAAACTTTCATAAGGGACAGAAGGGGCCAGGAAGTGTTGCTCAATGCCTTGTCCTCAAGCAGCAGCTGCCATGTAATAACAGTGCCTTTTCCAGTTCTTGCTTGCACAGCCCTTGGGAGTCATGGGCATGGCACTTAGGAGCAATCACACATCACAGAACTCAAAGGAAAATCCCATGTGCTTGGCTGTTCCTGGGCTGTTCTCAGTAGATGTTGCTTGCATGTCTTCTTCTCAGAGAAAGAAAAGGTGACCAACAGAGGTGTGCTTAGAGGAAGCCACCCAAAGAGTGTTTTTTCAGACCTGCTACACTGGGCTCTTAATGGGCAAGGACCTGAAGAGGAAACTGAATAACAGCAATGTTTGTGTTTTTATTAAAAGGAGATATTAAAATAACTGTTTTCCTCCTGAGAGAATATCCTCAGAAACATTTGTAACAGGAGCCTGAGGCAGAAGGCAGTGTTACTAAGACAATAATAACAAGTAAGAGTTAGCAATTTCGTGAGCAATGGAACTTCGGAAGTCTGATTTCTGATGGCTCTTTCCTCTGTTTATTTTCTGATGTAAAATATTCATGTCGAATATACATCAGTCTTTTTATGGCGTTGCTATCTCAGATGTCTCTGTTCTACTTGGCCATTAATTTTTGTAGCAACTGTAGGAACTTGGTATTTTGAGGCATTTGGCCTCTCTATCAAATTTGCTTGAAATAAGCCCATGTTCCAATAAAATCCCCGGGGAAGGGATGACAAGTAGAGTAGCAGAGAACATAGCTATAGCCACATGACTTTTGCTTTTTTATGAGTGCAATGTCTGTGGTGTGAGCTCTTTTTCTTGTAAGGCATTTTACATGGCTGCCAAATGTTGCAAAAAGATTAAGTGATGTCACGGATGCTGTGTTGCCAAGTTACGAGTGTCACATCCTCCAGAAATACTACACCAAAAGGGTGAGCAGAAGTGACTCATCTTTATGCCTTAGTTAGGCCTTCCTTTTGGTAGCTGTTGGGTCTGAAACCCAGAAATCTCCCTTCCATAGGAGCTCTTAACCACTGGCCCACTATTTTCTTTCATTGGTGCATGGTGGAGCAGCTCATCTTGGAGGGAAGCAAGAGAAGGACACTTTGAGAGGTTCTCCTGTGGAGCTAGGAGATATGATTTTCATTTTCCTTAGACAGCAGTGGAATTTGTCTCTCAATCCCCCAAATCTGAAGCAACGCTGCTAATTACCTGAATATTCCCTGAGTCACAGGACCAGGAAGGAATTCAAAATGTAGGCCTTCCTTTACCCCAGGCCAAATCACCAAGGTCATGTGCACAGAAGCTGGCTTGCTCTGGGCTTCCAGGAGTGACATCTCCTAAAATTCCCCAGCAAGGGATACAGTGGGCCTGTATCACAACTAGTGTTTTCTTTGAGGCTCAGTAGGGCAGCTCTCTTGTAAGAATGTCCATAAATCACCCTGTTGTGATTATGGCAGGGGAGAGAGTCAAAACTACTGAGTTGCGAGCTTGGTACCTCTGTTGTCACCCTGGGCAAGGTTTCAGTGGTTTCTCCCAGAATGGATTTTCATGAAAAAAATGTGGGCGAGATTGTATGCATCTCAAGAGCTAAGCATATTTAGTGCCAGAAGTAATGATAAAAATTGAAGCTTATCTCCCAGTCATTTTGTTATTTCACTGAAGAAATTGTTTTGCATCATGTATTATTTATTCATTGCCTGTAGGTACTTGATTGCCTTCTACTACATGAAGGCTTAAAACATTACCAGTAGTTTCCTTGCTAACAAATTTTTAAAATATGTTTAACAAAATCCATTTTATGTTCAGTTTTGCCTTTTCAAAGGGATTCAAGAGCACTAGTCAGTCAACTCATACAAGCAGCTCCTTAACTGAAAGTGGTTCTGCAGCAATTGTAGCAGCCAGTGCAATTCTGATTAACTTCTGCTATTTGGGGTGTTGGTTTTTTTCTGTTGGTAGGTGAGTTTTTTTAGTATAAAACCAGCTCAGTCTCTACATCTCTTTCTAGTTGTTCTTTAGATCCTGAAACTATTCACAGAGTCAAAACTTGGACACGGTTATCCTTATTTTCCTTATATGCAAGGAGCAGTCAGGTCTCCAAGTTGTTTGATTGTGCTAAGACTTGTTTCCTTCCTCTACCTCTACGTGTGTAAACTTCTGTTTGTTAAGAAGCAAACAATACAGAAAACAAAAAGCCCACAAAGTAAAATTATTTTTCTCCTTAGCCCTGGAGTCTCAGATGAGATCTGTAGAGGGCAAAGCCCAGTGCAAATCCATAGCTCTGCTCAGCATCAGGTCATTTGT